ATTCTACTCAGGTTACTTGCTAGAACAGCAACTGATGGATCCGTTTTCCCACACCTTCCACCTCATGATTTTGCCTTTTTAATTACTTCATTTGAACCTGTTTGTAGTTCCAGCTTCCATTATGTCCTATTGCAATTAGAAAATCTTTAGGAATTAAAAGTTTTGCTGACTTTAAGGATGAACAGTGTGTATTTGCTGTGTTAGAGTGTAAAAAAGTGCACTTCTTAGGTGAGGATTTCCATTTTAGCCCCGCCATTTGACAGTGAACTGTTTTGCTCTACTGCCAGCTGACTTCTCTGAAGTAGCTGCAGTTACTTCATTAGGTTTTACCCCTTCCCATTCTGAGGAAAACTGACATGTTAATTTTTTTCCTTGCATCAAGACTAGGAAGAAAACTGGCTAAACATAATTCTCTGTCTTTTTAAAAGGGAGAAAGGAAACACTGATCCTGCTCATAGAGGGGCTTAGCTTCGGTAATCCTTCAAGGTCAGCCACAGGTCTCTCTGATATACCATGGGAAGCTAGAATTTTAGGATAGAAGTTCATGCTAAAAGCAATTATTACTTTGTATTGAATTTATATCTATTAAAAATAAACCCAAACTTGTAGCAGTTACAGCAGGATCTAAGCAAAGAGCCCCCCAAACTGATCAGACTAGATTTCATCCAGTGATAAAGACTTGTCCTGCTTGTTCTCAGCTCCTTAGGTTCCCTCATGTCTTATTTATTTGGGGTTTTTTAAAGCCTTTTTTTCTGTTGTCTATAATTTCCTGGAGGTTACTGGGAATAGAGGAAGACAGGAAGAGAAAAGGATGGATTATGGATTTGCAGTTTGGTCAGTGATGGTGAAAGGGGGCAGGGGCTCAAGGGTTCTCATGCAGAGAGCAGAGGGATGGACGGGAGGCTTGTGGTGGCTAGTTCTGTAGAATTGCTTTAAGAAATGGTGTAGGAAATTTATAAAATGATGCCATATCTTGCTGAAACGTGCTATTTAGAAAGCCATACCTCTAGGGAGACCAAAAAGCTGAGGAGAGTCTAGGTGACTCCAGCCAGCTCTACTATCAACTGTTTGGAGGGAGAGGAACATTTTTGAGGTGCTGTCTCTACCTCTCTCTCTCTCTCTCTCTCTCTCTCTCTTTTAAAAAGAACTCCCTTAAAAAAGACCCCAACAAACCCCCCAAACAAACAAAAAAAAAAAAACCCACCCCACCTTTTAAACTGAAAAAGGGATTGTCTTGAGTTTTTTCCTGACAGAGGGAGAAATGAGGGGAAGATATTGACAGGCATGACATTATGTAAACAGCAAGAGCGCAACTGAGCTTTGTAATAGAGAAGTAGAAAAGAGGGTGAACTGGAGCAGCTGGTATGAACTGGGGACATGGGGGTGTAAAGGAAGAAGCATTAAGCTGCTGACCTGGTGGAAGAGAAGTGTGAAACACTGCGTGGGGTGGGGAATCCAGCCAATACCCAGGACTGAATAAAGGGAGCACTCAGTAGTGAATGGGAGAAAGAGGTATTTGGCATAAAGACAGTGAAGGTTCAGGAATCCCGACACAGAGGGACGGAAGCTCTTTCAGAAGGAGCTTGTTGGGGCGAAGAGGGTGCTAAAGGAATGCAAGGAGTCCTTGGCGTGCATGAAATGCACTTGGGCTGTGGTATGATTATTAGATTTTTAGTTGTATTTTTTTACTTTCCTCCTGCTGTAATGCAGGTTTAAACAGCCCCTTCCCTTCTCCTGCTATTAGTACAACTGTGCGTAGTGCTTTGTGCTGAACAGAAGTGAGGGAAATTATCCATGGGGGGAAGAGGGAGGGAGTCCAGTAAAAATGTCTGCCTCTGTTCTGGATCTGTTCCACAGAGGGGCCATGTAAAACTAGGGCAAAATCAGTAGCTGCAGATTGAGGAAGCAAGATTATTACTAAATATGATGAGTAATTGAGGGGGACTGAGTCTTTAAATATTGCAAAAGCTTGGGCTGTTGAACTCTCTGGGCTCAAGAGCTTTGCTTGAAATAAGTGGTAAGGGGTCTCCTTGACGCATGTAGTCTTGCAGCTGTCCATGCTCTTTTGTGGGGTGGAATCTCACAGCATCACAGAATCACAGAATGTTAGAGATTGGAAGGGACCTTGAAAGACCATCTAGTCCAATCCCCCTGCCAGAGCAGGAACACCTAAATCAGATCACACAGGAACGCATCCAGGCGGGCTTTGAATGTCTCCAGAGAAGGAGACTCCACAACCTCCCTGGGCAGCCTGTTCCAGTGCTCTGTCACCCTCACCGTGAAGAAGTTTTTTCTCATATTCAAGTGGAACCTCCTATTTTCCAGCTTGAACCCATTGCCCCTTGTCCTGTCACTGGATGTCACAGAGAAGAGCCTGGCTCCATCCTCCTGACACTCACCCTTTACATATTTATAAACATTGATTAGGTCACCCCTCAGTCTCCTCTTTTCCAGGCTAAAGAGACCCAGCTCCATCAGCCTTTCCTCATAAGGGAGATGCTCCATTCCCTTCATCATCTTTGTGGCTCTGTGCTGGACTTTCTCCAGCAGTTCCCTGTCCCTCTGGAACTGAGGGTCCCAGAACTGGACACAATATTCCAGATGCAGTTTCACCAGGGCAGAGTAGAGGGGGAGGAGAACCTCTCTCGACCTACTGACCACCCCCCTTCTGATACACCCCAGGATGCCATTGGCCTTGGCCACGAGGGCACAGTGCTGGCTCATGGTCATCCTGCTGTCTACCAGGACCCCTGATCTGTGCTGGTTTTGGCTGGCATAGAGTTAGTTTTCTTCACAGTAGCTAGCATGGGGCTATGTTTTGGATTTCTGCTGGAAACAGTGTTGATATTTCAGGGATGTTTTAGTTACTGCTGAGCAGGGCTCACACAGAGCCAAGGCCTTTTCTGCTTCTCACACCACCCTACCAGTGAGTAGGCTGGGGGTGTGCAAGAAGTTGGGAGGGGACACAGCTGGGACAGCTGACCCTGACTGGCCAAAGGGATATTCCATGCCATATGATGTCATGCTCAGCATATAAAGCTGGGGGAAGAAGAAGGAAGGGAGGGATGTTCGGACTGATGGTGTTTGTCTTCCCGAGTCACTGTTAACGCATGATGGAGCCCTGCTTTCCTTAGGGTGTCTGAACACCTGCCTGCCAGTGGGAAGAAGTGAATTAATTCCTTGTTTTGCTTTGCTTGTGCGCATGGATTTTGCTTTACCTGTTAAACTGTCTTTATCTCAACCCCCGAGTTTTCTCACTTCTGCTCTTCCGATTCTCTCCCCTATCCCACTAGGGGAGAGTGAGTGACCGGCTCTCTGGTGGTTATTGCTGGCTGGGGTTAAACCACTACAGAATCACAGGAACAGAAGATTAAGGACTGCTGTTCAACCTACGCTTTTTCCTGAGGGAGAGGCATGCCACACATACCTGTCACACACTATATGCACATGGTTTTGTTTTGACACCCTCTGGTTCAGTAGATGACCAGGCCTTCTGTACCAAACCTGTGTGTGACAAGATTCTGGGGCTGTATCATCTTTCACACATCCTTTTTAATTGAAGCTGAGAAGCACACACACTCCACCCCCCTTCCCTCAGGTTTGTGTTCTCTTCTAGTTCCAGGAGAACAGCATCTAGCTCTGGCCAAATAATATGTTTGCTTGGACAGGATATAACTTTGGGCAGAGATAATAAACACCTCATCAGTGAAAAGCTGATGATTATTGGGAGCCTCCTGACCTTTCTGCTGAGTCTGCCAGCCATGTCAGCATTCTCAAATGCTCCCCCCTCTCTAATTTGCAAATGACTTGGTTTCAGCGTGGGAAGCTGGCAGGGGACATCCCTGGATGGACAGCGAGGCGTGTGAGAAGGTGGAGTAGACGGCAGCTGTAGCTGTATTGAGAGGGTGGACAGCAGAGAGAATCTGTGGTTATTAGGAACTGCAGAAACTTCTGTGCACCGTCAGTGCTTTGGAAAACTGTATTTTACCAATTAAAATGTTAGAGTATTCCTGCTAAATGCATAGTGAATCACAAGTGGCCTTTGGGTTAAGTTTGAACTGACAGCCTAGAGATGAGATGCTCCAGATTTTGTTTCTAAGCTCTCTCGGACACCCGTTCTCCTGTTCTCACTAGGATCTTCTTCCCTTCTCTACAACTGCAGGGATACAGATGCATCTGCTACAGGTGTTAATGGATACAGATGATCCTTACTGGGAAGAGGATGAAAACTCTCCTCCTCTTTCTAGATCGTCAAGGAGCACAGCGTTTTAGCTTTGGAGTCTGGGGGTGCTGTTGCTCTGATTTGTCCCAGCAGGAGCTAATGCAGACAGACTTGGATCAGCAGTCCTAATGATTTACACCTGTACTATAACATGCAACTTGACAAAAACCATTGCTTTGTCAAAAAGACCTAATCAGAGAAGTTCGAGTTGAAGCTGATTTTTTTGTTTTTACATTTAATATACTATACTTGCTTTGAGGTAAAGTAAGCGTAGACGATATTACCTTGAACAAGAATTCTTGCATTGTGTTCTGTGGGTTATGGAAACTTTAATAAACTGACTGCAGTAACCAGCATGGAAGCCTTCTGTTTTGGTTAAAATTGAGGCTGTATTTCATGGAGCTTGCATTTCAAACAATTGTGATAATTCCAAGCGTACAGCACTATGGCTAATGACAAAAAAATGTGCCATAACAGGTTTCTGTTCCTGACTGGTGTTTCAATTATGGAAATGATCTCCTTAAATAAGAAACTGCCCACACTCTGGCATTTGACTTGTTTGGTGATGTGCCCCACACTGGGTGGGGTGAATGCAGAGTGGGTAAGGAATTTGGCTAGCATATTTAGCACTGGATATGGTCTACTTCTGTCCATGATACCGAGAACCTGATGACTTTAAAGCAAACTAAAATCTATTTCAGTTATAGGTAGATGGTTGCAAAAGGAGGGGAGCCTAATGCACCCAAAAAAACAGTGGTGTCCTGGGCAGAATTGCCAGATGCGGCCTGGTTTACTTGCCAAAAATCCAGAGATCAGCGTGATAAATTTTGATAGATCTCAAGCTATCTTTTCAAAATTAGTAAAAGTATGTCACAGTAATGATGCCTCATAAAGCACTGCAGATTACCTTTGTGGCACTTTACTGTAATATCGGTGATAAAATTGTAAATGTCTTTAAAATATGTTAAATGTCCATTGGAATGAGAATATCTACCCATCTTCGTTTACCTGCTCAAGGCTTCCGGTATCATCTGTGATTACGATTTTTCTTAGTTTCCTTGGATTAAGGGATGGCCTTGCCAGTTTTGAAGAATTTTCTGAGTTTTCTAGATTTCTATGTACATACAAATCTAGACCTCTCACCTATAGCTGGAGTCCCTAATTCTTTGACTGTCTTTTCCTTCAAAGCTGAGCAAAGCACCCAACCATTTGACTTTAAATGGTGGAATGTTTTATTAATGAAATTATCCAAATACTGGGTAGCAGGAAAATTGTAAATTTGCTGACAATATTGTTTCTATATTAAAAGCAAAAAACTAAGTGATAACATACAGTATCAGCCAGCCTTGAATACACGAGGAAGTCTTAAATAACAGCAAAAAAGCTCTTCAGAACTGACCTTCCCTTAAGCACAGTGGATCTTGGGAAGGATGTGTTTTGTGATCAGTCAGTCTAACTGGAGGCATAACTTTTTTCCTAGCTCAAGTCAGTGAGTATAATGATGATAAGAAAACAATGTTTGTAGGAGCAGCTCACCTCATCTGCATTCTTATTTTGCTGCCTTCTCCTGTCTCTGCAGTTGCAGCTGATTGGCAACTGTCATTTTTTCTTTTTCCCCAGCAGTGACACTGGGTTTATGTGAGTGTGTACAAATCTCAGCTAACTGAGATTTGGTCTGTTGTCTAAATCTGCCTAATAGCCTTTACTGGACTTAGTAATCACGCTGGTCTGTTTGTGCTGCAGGGGAGGAATTGCAGAGGTGTAGAGCCACAGCAGCTGTCCCTTACCTGGGAGTGGGAAAGGATTCAGCTCTGTGACTGCCTGTGGCTGTTCACTTGCTTAACCTACAAGTTGCATTTCCAACTTTTATACCTAACTCTGACTCTCTTTTTGTGAACAGTGCTTCTAAATGCTAAGGATGCCTCTGGAAACTACTTGAGGCAAAAATGTTACCTGTACATTGTTCAAAAGGTGTTATAAATAGTTTTTGGTAAAAACTAATTCCTGGAAAAACAAAGACATACGGACTGTGCATATGAAAATAATGCTTTTGAAAGGTTCTACGGTAGATCAGTTCCTTTGAAGTCAAGGCTGGTGTTAATGTAACAGATTCACAGCTTGTTTTGAAACTATGATAGTCTATATTAAGTAGATAGTTGCTCCATCATATTTACTGAATTATTTAATTTCTTCAAACCCTTGTCCAGAGTGCCGTGTAGTCAATTTTTGTATGTTGGAAAAATTGGAAAATA